AAAAAAAAAATTTTGAATTTACTTACTTGTAGCCAGAGTTAGAGGCGGTCGGATACTTATGACCGCTACTGTAAATCTATCTATCGTAATTTTATTACAGATTTTGAAATGATAGTACATTAAAATTATTAAAGTATGATGTGTTTCACAAGTTATAGCATTAATTAACACCTTATATTCAAATCATGAGTCTAAGCACAGATTTATATAATACATGCTAACATTTTTAGAATGGTTTACAATATAATACTTATAATGAAGAAAAAGTGAAATACTTACTAAAAAAATACAAAGAACATTTAGTTAAGGCTAAATTAAAAAGAAACCATTACAACAAAAATATGAAACTAGCAGAACTATAGAGAAAATTAGTAGATAAGCATTTTATAATAAAAAGTAAAACTTATTATAACATTAATATAACTACGTATTATAGTTATGATTAAGCGCAAAATATTTATATACCCTATTTCAATTAGCAAGTAAGTAAGATTTATTATCTCAGTTTACGTAAAATATATTTATTTAATATTCAAGATGAAGTAACACATGAACAAATTAATTATGTTCTTGATGAGAATAAAATAATAGAAAAAGGTTTTAATAGTACGCTAAGCCTGGTATTCAATAGAATTAAATAATTAAATAAAGGTGAAAAACATTTAAAAATCACTTACGATAATACGAAAGGATAGAATAAAAATAATATCACTATTTGATTTTATCTGTATTTGGTAATTTGTAACTATTATGAAAGTGTTAAATTAAATTTCATGGTATCTGAACATACTAAATTTAAGTGTAATACTAGTTTTGGATTGATTAAGAAACTATATCACAAAATGATGATAGATTCTGTAGATCATATTGTTGAGATTGTGAAAAGATCGAGCATAGCAGAATTAAACAAATCTTAACATTATGATAATAAGAAAGACTTTAATATTTAGATCTTAATTCTGTGTTAGAAATTTTTTTTAAAAAGCTAAATGGTTTATAAAAATATTAGTATTTTATATTCGAAATAACCAAACCTGATATTGTCAAAGTTTAATTAGTTGCTAATGATTTATATGTTAAATTTAATTTATTGAAAAGTAAAAAAGTAAGTGTTTCTGAAATTATCAAAGAAATTAAATTATTTTCCATTCTAGTACTAACCTCTTTTCCTTTGGATTACAAAAGATAAGAATATCTTTATCATAATATTTGCTTATTTGTTAAAGATGAATTCAAAGACATAAGTTGTTCTAAACTAATTTATACTAATAATAAATAAAATATTTCAGTTAACCGCAAATTTTATTACTTCATTAGTTTTTGTTTATTTCTATTAAATTCTTTATATTTAATCTTTTAGTATTAAAATAATAATATAGAAATTAAAATTATGATATTCAAAAAAATAATATAAATATGATAGACGAAGCAAAAGAATACTTCAATTATTATGAAAAAGTTCTTAAATCAGAAGAAAAGGCTATTTTTAATAATAATTTTTTAAAACCAAATGGCACTTTAGATAAAATACTCCTTCAAGATACTATTTAGTTATTAAACAATTGAAGAGAAGTCAGAAAAAAAATAAAAAAAAAAAATGGGTTTAAATTCAAAAAATTATAATTTATTGGCTTTCATCTTAAAAAAGCAAAAAGCTGAATCTATTTCTTATCAAATTGTTAATAATCTAAATGACAATAAACCAGTTGATAAAGTTATTAGTCAGTTTGAAGATATTTTGTTTAATGAATCTGATTCTGAATTTGATCATAAAATTAAAGATAAAATAAATGCTTTAGGAGAACTTTTAAAAAAAGAAGAAGAAATAACTAAAGAAATTAAGAAATTAAGGAAAAAATATAATATTGAAATTGTTAAAAAACAGACTGATTTAAGAAATAAAATTGTTAAGATTTTGATTCTTAAGTTGAAAAATAATCTTCAAGATGTTGAAAGTGGTGATTAAAAAATTTTAGATAATATGATTAAGAGTAATGAAGAATATTTAAATCAAATTTATAAATCTGATATATCAGAAACAACTAAATATTATGGATTAATTATCAAAACTAGTTATAATAGGAATAATAAACCTTTTACTCATCTAATTTATTTAACTAATGATTTATCTGATCAAATTTGAGTTATTTTCAAAAGATCTTGATAAAGATAAACTTTTTGAATATATTTCTTCTTCAACTTGTACTTGAAGTAATTTAGACAAAATTAAGTTTAAAAAACATTTGGTATAATTATAGATTAAAAAAATAGCAAATTTAAAAGTAGTGGTAGTAGTAATTCAATAGGTTATTTTTATGATTCAGAAGGAAGTTTTGAGTTTATTGAAACTTGTTTTACTCATAAAATTGATAAAACAATTGAATGAAATAAGAAAAATATTAAAAAAGAGATTAGACATTTTAGCAATGTACTTTATGCAATACATGCTTTCTTTTTCAAAAATAGCAATTATAAAGATAGTCCTTTTTTAAAAAAAGATTAAAAGAGCTGTTATAATTTAAGAATGATAAGAGTTTAGATAAACATTATATGATGTATTAATTAGAAGCAAATATAAGTATTATTGAAAGGATTATTTTATTGAAAGTAGTAATGCAAATATTCTTAAAGTTCCTTTTGACTTTAAAGAAAAAAAACTAACTTAGACAAATAGTCAAATTCTTAAATTTTTTTGATAAGTTTATAACAATAATGAGCCATTGATTTTAGTAAATATAGTACAGTATTAAGTAGTAATGCAGTTAGTCTGAAAAAAATTTGTGAAAAAAAAATAATTGTTTATAAAAAAAATTAAGTAGTAAAATATCATTGATGTTTCATCACTTTATATTTAGAAATAATTATAGAAATTATATTAAGGATTTAGTCAAAGATAGCATAGATGCTAATGGAAAAAATGATTAACAGATAATAAATATAAATTAGTTAAAAAAGAGTTAGACAGAGTTGCTAATAAAGTAGTATTAGCTATTATGAAATCTCTTACAAGTTTTAAGAATAGTGCAAGAGCATTAAAGATTGATGAGTTAGAAAAAAGAGCAATTGGTTTTAATTCAAATCAGATAAGATGGCTTGCTACTAAATATAAAAAATAATGAAGTTACTGATTTAATAATAAATTTGTAAAATAAATAAGCAACAGATACTGATGTTATCCCTTCAAGCGTTTTGCAAGCAAATTTGCCTGCAATTTTATTTAATAATTAAAATTATTTATAATAATTTTAA